TACGTACGTACGTACGTACGTACGTACGTACGTACGTACGTACGTACGTACGTACGTACGTACGTACGTACGTACGTACGTACGACGACTACGAGTAGAGAGAGAGAGAGAGAGAGAGAGAGAGAGAGATGGAGAAGAATAGGGTTTTGTGTTGGATGTATAGCCCGAAATGCTTTCGCAACCCCTCTACAAAACCCCACAAAGAAAATGGCGACTTTGAGGAGAAAGAAACCTCTCAGAGAAAGCCTGGAGGATGGAAAACCATGCCGTACATCATAGGTAAAGCCAGAAGCAAAGCCTAGGCTCTTTAATTTTCTAATTTATAATACTTTATACTCAAAGTGACGTGAGATGTCTTGTTAATTATCGTGTGAGTGTGGTGGTGCAGGAAATGAGACGTTTGAGAAGTTAGCAACGCTTGGTTTGCTCGCGAATTTCATCGTATATTTGCAGACCAAGTATCATTTAGACCAGGTGTTTGCCGCAAATATCATCTATATATGGTCCGGAGTCTGTAACTTCCTCCCACTTGCAGGGGCATTTTTGTCCGATGCTTATTTGGGACGTTTCGGAACCTTGGCTTTCACGTCTGTGGCCTCCTTCATGGTAAAACACATACTCTCTCTCTCTCTCTCTCTCTATCATTTTCTCTCTCATGAAGGCAGTGAGAAGTAAGCGTAAAGGCCGTGTGTATAAGCATGGGTGCATGAGAGAGAATGGAAAAAGGCGATAGTGGCTTGAGTGGATGCTCTAAAAAAAATAAAAAAGTGGTGCTCAAAAGGCCCGATGGGCTCTGCAGAGCCGCCTTGTCCCTCCCTGGTGTGGTGTGTGAGCCAGAGAGTGGGGCCGGGCCTGTTTTGTCGCCTTTTCATAATGGAAGTGTTTTTTTACCACTGCCCAGCCTCTCAAAGAGTACTTCTATTCATTATTTGTAAACCAAACGATATTCTCGACTCTTCCTTTACTCCCTCAGGTAAAATCCCCACAAACCATTGGTTTTAAGCACCAAATTTTGAGGATATAACCTATTTTAATAGGTAAACTAACTTCAACAATTTTTTCTTTTCTTAATTGCACCTCTATGTACTTCGAAATGAATTATGGCTCAAGATAGAATAGAAACCACGAAAAAATCTAAATATTTGACAACTCAAATTGAAATTGTTTTTATTATTTTTTTGAGAATAATCATCTAATCATTCTATGAAATCTACCGAACTTTGAGATTAAAAAAAAACAAATTTCTCTCAAGTGGGTCATCTGACCTCTCTTTGAGCGTTTCACTTTTCTTTTCGTTTGGTAAAACTCACTCTAAACTTTTCTCTGTCAAGCATCAAAACCTTCGTCTTTATTTGCTCGACTTCCGTCAGCGTTATTTTGTTGTTTTCATTTATGGGCAAGAAATAGAAATATGTGATGAAATTAGACAAGGCAGTTTTTTTAGCATCACTCCTATAATGCATTCTGGTTGTCAGCTTTTTCCAGTGCTACACACCTTTGTGTTGGGGGCATCCTAAAATTGCCTGGAATGTAAATTAGTAGATAAAAAATTCCCATAAAAGAGAAAAGAGAACACTCAATAAAAAGGAAATAAGAATCCCATTTCGTAACCGGAATAAAGTCGAGCCATTTTTTTTTGCAAGTTCTACAATATGGGTAAGTAATAGTAACTAAAAGGGTTACTTATATCTCGTCAATTATTTACCGTTGTAGCTATTTTTTTTACTATTGAAAGCCATGATTATATGTATTTTTATGAGATTATTAAAGAAATAAAAAAATAAAAAATGTGGTTGCAACAATAAACAATAGCATATCTATCATAAGATGTAATTTTGGTATAAAAAATTCTTAAGATGGCCTGAGAATCCATTTTTATCTCTAATTATAATATTTTAAATTCTAAAAATAGTTCAAATCAAATAGATCTATAAAAACATGAAAATCTTAAAAATGGATAGTCTTGATAATGTGTTGCAAGAAACAATTTGCTTAAGAAAGGAGCTGGGGTTGTTGACACCACCCACTGATACCTTCGAAAAATCAAAACTCCCTAAATCTATATGAAAAAACGGGTAGAGCTTGTCTTCCCCACTTAATTAACCAACAAAAAGATGCATTATTTTTTAGACTAGATATCTTTTTTTTTTTTTCATTTACGTACTTGGATGATAAAGTAGTGGGTTTTCCAATGTTAAAACAGTCTTTTCCGAAGGGTTTGCCCTAAATCCTATTTAACAAAGTTGTAAATCTCCTAGCTTACTGTTTCAAACCCAAACACTACCGAGTTACACATTGTGAAAATAAAAACAAGGGAAATGCATAAAGGGAGATTGTTTAATGAATCAGGGGACCCATTTCTACATTTGTGTCCCATAAGGTATGAAGCATCCATCTTAAAGATGGATGTAAATTGGTGGTTCATCTAAACGCAGTTAGAAACTAACGGTCTAAATGTTTTCATCATAAAATTATTATTTTAAAATTTTAAAATTTATTTATTTATTCATATTCATGACCTCCATGTTAGAGTTTATATATCCTTAAAAATTGGGCCCTAAACTCCGTCTCAAAAATAATTTTTTTACGAGGGGACTCATTTCTACATTGACTCGTAAAAATTGTGTCCATATATAAAAATGCACCGAACTTCTAAACAATTCATAAGATTGCTCTTTTTCAGCTAATCCGACTTATGGTCACTAATCCAAGTTATAGTCATTTGTATTTTGAAGGATATTTTAAAATTAAATCAAAAGACTTTGGTAAAATTAAAATATTAAATAGTTGATGTTTTATGTATATTTTGATAAGAGTTCCTTGGAGATAAATCACATGAACACCTCACAGTGCACCACAATTAATACAGCACTGGTTCATTATGAGAAAAGATTGCGCTTCTTCATGGAAACTTCCATAACACCTCGCTCACTGTGTCGGCAGGGAATGGTGGTCATGACCCTAACCGCCGCGCTCCCTGGCCTCCGCCCACGACCTTGCTCCCGCGGAAGCACCTGTGAGCATCCAACAGCAGGGCAATTCTCCGTACTCTACGCTTCTCTCTTTCTCCTCGCAGTCGGGGCCGCCGGCATAAGGCCCTGCAGTCTCCCTTTCGGAGTCGACCAATTCGATCCCTCGACCCCAAAAGGAAGACAAGGAATAAACAGTTTCTTTAACTGGTATTACTTCTCCTTCACCTTCGCCATGATGATTGCCCTCACTCTGGTTGTGTACATACAGAGCAGTGTTAGTTGGGCTCTGGGGCTTGGGATACCTGCTTTTCTTATGTTTGGTGCGGTTGTGATGTTCTTTTTCGGGATGAAGGTTTATGTTTATGTGGAGCCAGAGGGCAGTGTTTTCAGCAGTGTTTGCCGTGTTTTTGTTGCGGCTTTCAGAAAGAGAAAGTTGAAGATGGAGGAAATGGTGGGATGTGTGATGTATGAACCGGAGCCCGTTGGAACCAAGCTGAAGCTTACCGATCAGTTCAGGTGCACTTTCTCTCTCTACAATCTCAGTTTTCTCTCTCTTATTTGGATTTTTGTCTCTCTTTACCCTTTATTTTATATTTAGCTCCCTTTAGCGAAAAGATTTTATACTCCTCAGGTAAAAATCTAATATAGGAGTAATTTTTAAGATCCTGGAGATGTAACCTCCTTGACTCATACACTAGTAAAAAAAAACTTTTTTGAATTCAACTCTTTATGCAATTATAATGTCTCAAGATTGAATGGAGACAGTCCAAGGGAAGATGTCAGAAACCCAAAATAAAATATGAAAAATAATCGTTTAGTGATTTTAGGTGGTTCCACAAAATTCCAGACTGCAAAAATGTTCCAAATAGGCATTTTGGTTGAGGGAGAGGGAGTAAACAGGAGCATAGTATATGTGCTCTTTGGTTTATTTGCTTTGGAAGGACAGACAGTAGGTATGGCAAGGGAAAATGTGTCTTTGGTTGGCAACATATACAGCTTTCCTTAGTATCCGTGGCCGTGGCTTCAACTTGAGGACAATGGCATGAATAGGCTTCGCACATTCTCCCTTTAACTTACCGTGTTGCCTTTCCACAAGTTATGACTCACACCCTTTTTGGCCCTCTTTTTACCCATAAATAGGGTTGACAATAGGCCGGGAGCCCGGCCAAGCTTGGCCCGGCCCTAAAATATGTACGGTATGGGCCACATACTGTGGCCTGAGGGCCGGGCTACGGCCAGTGTCATCTTAACCCTATTCTTTTTCCCCTGTTTTATCTTTAATTTTTTTTATTTTTTTTTTGCATGGCGTGATCCTGTAGGGACAAGGACATAGGGCTGGACCAGGGCAAGGGCCAAGACTGGCCCAGCCTGTTACCACCCTTGCTCATAAATGCATGTTTGTCTTTTGAGATTCATAAATTTCTCTCTTCCCCTCTATATCCTCAAGCTCCATGGCAGCGTGTCATTTTTGGGTTCCGTAAGAAGAATTGAGAAATTTTGGAAATTTTATAGGAAACTTCTATTTTATTTTGGCAAAAATAGTTTTATACATTTTATGTTTTACACTCAAGTTATATATTTTGAAATTCGCCGTCGTCATCATCATCATAGCATTTTTTCAACTAATTGGGTTCGGCTACAAGAATTTTGGTCTGCCATTTTGCTCTATTATGGGTCATACCTTCAGTGAGACCATAAATATAATTAAAATTTAATTTCGAATAAAAAATTATTAAAATACTCCCAAACAAAATGTGAATATGAAGGTTGGTTGTGTATTAGAAAGAAAGAGAGAGTGAGAGAAAGGTCATTTTCTTAAGGGAAAAGTTTATGTAGAGCTAAGCCTCTAAACAATCAAATTTGAGCGTACCTCCAAAATTTCATTAGAGGAGGTTGTTTTGATGCCTAAATATCTTCAAATCGATCATCTCGACATCGAGATG